TCTAAAAACGTCAGTTTTACGCTGCATTGGGATCTGCAGTTACAAAGGGGAAAAAACCCTTTTCGCACATAAGTAACGAAAAAGGGCACTTTTGACGTCAGGGGTCTGACGTGGAGGGTGGCTGACCAAGCGTTTGTTTCCGACGCTTAGGGTGTGAGAATGTGTTTAATTTATTTCTGTTTCAAAACAGCACAGATGGGCCTATCTGACCTCACAGCGGAAACTTTATTTTACTTGAGAAAGATGTTTTAAGATGAACTTATTAAAACAAAAAAATCTTCAAACTCTTCAAGGTCTATTTTTAGATGATTTGATACAAGTCGCATGAACAGGCTGAATAAAAGGATATTTCCCTTTGTTGCATTTAACTATTTCTTCTTTAAAGAAGTGCTGATTCAGAAGAGAATAACTGCATTTAGGAAGATGATGACTTGCTACGTTTTTTCTCCAGCAGTAAAAAAGCTCTAAAGCTTCTCTGAGTTTCTCTCCCTCTCAGACTCTCTCACTCAGCTACTGATGAACCACCAGGGCCAGATTAACACTTTGTTGTACCCTGGGCAACAATATTCAAGGGCCCCATCATCACGACCCAAGGATCACCATAATATGGTCACATACAGAATATTTTACTGTAATATACCGTAAATATACTCAATACTTGAATGCCTGACATCACATAACCCGCTCAGGGTAACCTTTGACCCACCTCGTGTGGGACTGACCAATGAGGAGAGGGTCTTAACTTGAGGCCCTCTTGTCATTGGTCGTCTGCATGAGACTGACTCTCAACTGACGTTCAGTCATAGGCAGCGAAGAGTCTCTGTGCAGCGCAAAAGCCCGGGTGGACAGTTTGTTTAATGTAGGGTGACCATATTTCCATTTCCAAAAAAGAGGACAGGGGATCTGTGCCTATGACATCACACTATGGCAACGCCACACAAACCATGTTGGGACCCATTTTTTGTAAGAACTAAATTAATATCAGATTCTGCCACTAAAAGGGCTCTAAAACAATTCATATGTAAATATTTAGCATATTTATTGCAAAATCTCCTTTTTCTGCTTTAGTGCTGCAAAAACATTTTATTAATAATAAATTATTATACCTTTTGTTTTACTACAGCATCGGTACGCTTCCTGTGCACGATTATTAAGGATCTTTGTTTCAGCTGTGAGATTAGACGATAGGATCAATGAAAAAATAAGTTGTCACACACTCCATGGAAACTTTCAGAGAATCCACAAATAGTGGCTTTCAAATGGTTTTGTTACTTTTTGCAAGTTTAGAAAAGAAGCATATGAGACAGCATGTCTGATAATTTAGATTTTCATCTGATAACATGTCAGCGATGTCTGAGGAGCTTTTACAAACACGGTATAACTAATACTACTGGACAAGGTATGAATTACACAGAGGCTTCTGGGGAGCCCAGTTATGGAGTGGTGGTGGTGGTGCGTGTGTGTGTGTGGGGGTGGGGGGGTGGGGGGGGGGCATTTTGCCTTGGCCCCCAAAATGTCTTGAAACGGCCCTGGGTGTGTGACTGAGTTTTGAAGGTGATCTGAACTATATCAGATGTATAATTATTACATGTGTGTAACTTATTGCTTAAACGTGTAGTGGAGATACATCTTCCTACATTTTACTTTTCAACACTTTGTTTTGTTTTCTTGTTTTTATTTAACTATTTTCCTGTCCTGTCTGTCTCTCATCTTCCTGCATCTCCTCTAAACTCTCCAGAAAAACTGCTGCCTGGATTCTTACTTTTTCACCTCATCAGTTACTTCTGAGCAGATCGAAGGGATCTCCTGACCGCAAAGCGCAGAGTGCGTCAGTGAGGTGAAATCACCACAGTACAGGTGATGATCTCCGCAGTAGCAGAGCACTTCAAGCACAAATTAGACAGAAAGTAGAGAAAATGTGCGAACATCAACGATCGTGTGTAAATTATAGTTTTTTGGTTGCACCACTTTGAGAATGGACTGTGCGCTGGACACGCAGCAGCCTGGAGCGCTGCGCAACAACGATCAGCGTTGTGCCGCTCTCTGTGCTCTCTGCTCAAAAGAGTCCATAAATGATGTCATATATAGGTAGAAAACTTTTTTCCCGGCTCCCCTGGATGTGTAGGATAAACTCCCCCATAATTCGATCCCTGCTCCTGGATGAAGAGCCGGACATTTTCATCAAAAACAAGAACCCCCAGTCCGGACGCCCCGGACAGAGAGTGAAAAGTGGACACGGTCCATCTCCTTTCCTTTTTGTATTGTTTTCTCTCTGTAAACATGCTGTTAACTTGCTTTGCACATCTTCTAATTGAAATCTGTCTTTATTTTTTCATGAGCTTGCGTTTGGTGCCCCTCCCCTGCCGTGGTGCCCTATGCGCTGTGCGTGGTGTGCGTGTGTGGAGCGGCGGCGCTGGACCCATCTAATCTGGGTCAGTCAGTGACAGAGTCAGAACCGATATAGATTCCTGCTTCCTGAGTGGTCGGTTCTGACCTCTCAGGATGAAGGATTGATCTGTTAATTGAACAAAAGGAATGTTTTACTCTGAGAACTTCCAGCTCCTCACACAAACTCATTCCAAACTCAAACAACATTTTGCTTTTCATCATCAGACCCGGTTGGATGCCTACTCAAAGAGAAATCATTGGTTTCTGTGACTTCTCATATGGCTGATTGTATATTTTTCTTTGTGCATCATATATCAGCATAGTTTGACATTTTTAATTATTGAAACTTTGAACACTTTAAACTTTTAAATAGAGCTGTTATTTCTCTAAAAACAGCCCCAAAAGACTCCGACTATCAGGCTTTAAGGCTCTTATTGCAGTAATTGGATCCACGGGTGGCTTCAGGCTTCATTTTGAAATTGTTTTGGCACTTTAAAAAGCTGCTTCTTCTAATTTCACCATGACAAATATTCTCCACCTCTCTCCTTCCTCCGCTCTCCGTCAGGTTTTCCTCTGCTGATAATTTGCTGAAGCATCAAAGCTCAGCTGTTTCCCAGAACGCCGCCTCAGTGTTGCCGTTATGTAAGAAAACCTTTCATCAACATGCCATCATTTTGTCTCCTGAAACAGGAGGAGAGAGACTGAGACTGGATGGGGTGATCCTGGATCAGGTGGGTCTGGATCTGGTTATCCTGGATCAGGTGATCCTGGATCTGGTGATCCTGGATCAGGTGATCCTGGATTAGATGAGTCTGGATCAGGTGATCCTGGATTAGGTGGGTCTGGATCAGGTGGGTCTGGATCGGGTGATCCTGGATCAGGCGGGTCTGGATCAGGAGTTCTCCAGACATTCTGGAGGTTTTTAGGGACATTTTCTCCTCATTTCAGTCCCTTACCTGAATGTTTTCTCAGGTTAGTCAGGCCACTAACCTCTGAATCATTCAGACAGAAAATGCTGCTAAACTCAAGGGATGAGCCAGAGTTATGGTCACACTGAAAAACAAAAGGTTTCTCGTTCATGAAGACATGACATTCAGATGCTGTTTGAGAGAGATAATTTGGTCTCACTCGTCTTTTGCTCTTTCCTTTTTCACTTTTTGGTTTGTTAAAGGTAAACAACTGCGGTGAGCCAAACGGGCTTGAGTCAAAAATAAAAACTCGAGAGACCTTCAGAAGGCCTGTGTGTGTGTGTGTGTGTGTGTGTGTGTGTGTGTGTGTGTGTGTGTGTGTGTGTGTGTGTGTGTGTGTGTGTGTGTGTGTGTGTGAGTGAGACACTTTAGAAAAACAGTGAAAAATCATTGAAAGCAGAAGAAGTCAGACAGTCCAGAGATTTAACATATAAATGAGAAATTCTGCAATTTGGATGTGCTTCCTCCGTCTTTGGCTCCTCTTCCTCCTCTGAGCTCCTGTAGCTCCCCACCACCACCACCTCCCCATTTGGGAGGAACAGGGATTGTTTCTGCAGAGCGGCATGTGGAGCTGGCCCCAACGCTCACTGACCCTGGATCTTCGGGGAGCCCGACCACCCTACTGTTTCTCACACATTACACAGGATGGATGGATGTTTGCCACGGCAGGACATCTCAAGGTGGGGAGGGAGGAGGAGAGGGAGGCGGGGAAGAAAGCTGGAGAGACGACTGCAGCAGATCTCTGCAGCACCTGTTTCCTCACAAGAAGGCTTTAAATGAGATCTTCTACTGCAACTCATCTGAATTCAGAAAATTCAATTAAATGATGCGTTTATGACATCATTATGTTTTTTATCACCTGTCTCCTGCAGAAAATCAGCTGCTAGGTGCATTTAGGTCAGGATACCAACAACGTTCAGAGAATTAGGAAAACAACCCATAGTTTTATTATTTGATATATGGCTACCTGAGTAACTCATCCCATTGAATTTTGATGTAAAGATATAAAAATGTGCGGCAGCCAAACATGTAGGCAGGTAGGAGTGGCTATAGAAGGTCCTCTTCAGAGGTTACGATGTTTGTGGTGCTTCTGGTAAAAGGAGACCGGGGCCAGAACCAGACCAGTAAAGGTTAGAGGGAACAGAGCAGATGTGAAACGCCTCTGGAGTTTGCTGTGATGGATCTGAGCTGGTCATCCTCACCATGGAGCACGTGGAGAGTAGGCTTGATCACAACAGATACAATACATTCAGGAAAGTCTCTGAACAAGGACACACAGAGAGATGAATATCAGATTCCTGCCTCTGACTGATAAAACACACGCTGGTTGTTTCTGATTCCAGAGCTGCTCACCTGAAACAACCTGAAGGGAATCAAATCCAGTCTGTGACCACGCTGTCTGTCTGCCTGTTGGATTTTCTTACAGATGCTGAAGATCTGTTTAATGGAGACGCACGTTTCAAACACATGATCTGATCTAATCCACGAAGCAATGGTGCCACCTGCTGATGAACCTGCTGCACCTGCTTTCTGTTTGTGCTCCTGTTTCACAGAGGAGGAAATACTGTGTATTATCATTATTAGTGTTATCATCAGCCAGTTATCATTGTTAGTGTTGCTGGTTTCTGTGTTTACAACAACAGGAGGGATTCGAACAACGGCGAAAGTCATCCAGCAGTCGTTTTCCTACCAATTAACATGTGACAAATCAGCAAAAGGAGTTGGTTTTAGGAGAGGGGGGAGAAGGAGGAGATCTGTTTGTTTTCGTGGACTTCCGTGCTGCTGGCCCTTTAAGACTCTCGTCGTTGCTTTGGCGACAGTAAAAGTCCGGAAGTGAAGCCGAGCATCTTTGACGTGTAAAAACCAGCTGTTGAAACATTTTTTTAATCTAACTTTTAATCCGTATTCTTCCTTTAACTCTGAAGATTCTCGGGCAGAAGAAGGTGAGCAGCGAACGAACCGGATAATCCCGTTACGGTCAGTAGTGTCCGTTAGCCGCCATGCTAGCGGTCCTGTTCGGTTGTTGTGAATTTATTTACTTTACTTAATTCGTTTTAACTATCAAACGGTGAATAAGAGGTGTTTAAACGGTTCGGTTTGATCCTCCCGGTTTCCGTCACACTGTTTTGCTCCAAACGAGTCGCTGTCCATGGTGCTAGCAGAAACATTAGCTTCTGGAGCCACACTGGGCAGAGGGCACAAGAATATTTACCGGAAAGTAGCTTAAAATAACAAAATAATCATGTGTTTTTCACTGGTAACTCAAACCCCCCAAAGTTTAAAAGTTGTTGGTGAAAGTTCGGCTCGTTTTTTGGTCATTTTAATGATGATCATGTTTAGATAGCTGCCATATAAACTAACACTCATGAGCAGCAGGTCAGAGGTTTGTCCAAAGCATCACTTCTCTCTGCTTCTCACCTTCCTCCCATAATGCATCCTGTTACCACGTCTTCTCCTTTTAAGTAATGCACACGAACCTGAGCCTCCCCATGGTGGAGAGGAAACCCTGATCCACAGAACCAGGTCACACTCTTTCTCCACATCTGGTTTGTCCACTTCTGATCTTCCCAGTTCAGACGTTTGAGCTGCAGAAACATCTTCTTCAGCTTTTACTCTTCATGTTCATCAGTGATGCGTTCCCTCAGCTGTCAATGACCTCCCCTTCTGAGCAGGTCTGCCCCAGGAACGTCCATCAGCTGCTGCAGCTCTGGAGATCATGTGCCCCTCATCCTGGCTCTTGTTAGAGTCAGAATAGCTATCTCTGTCTGCTGGATACCATGGTAACCAGAATGAGCATAATAATGTTTCTAACTGGTTTAAATCAGAGACGAAAGGGTTATTAAAGTGGGAACCAGCAGTTAAAGTCAACAAATCCTAAACTTCATATCTTTTTTCCAGAAGATGAACGATAGCACTGATGGAAGAGAGCCGGTGAGCTGCACCGTCAAACCTCCGGTCCAGCTGCACATCAGAGACTCTAAAGCAGAACCAGTTCCATCAGGTGTCTGTGTGGTCGATGTCACCCCCCACTCAGGGAAACCCATCAGTGTAAGCCAACCACACACTCCAGGGGTGTCATGTATCAAACATTCATAGAAACTGTCCTTATTCCCTCCTACAACCTAAATGTAGAATGTGTGTACGAACAGTCAAAAGACTGATTTATGAAATGTGTGTGTGTGTGTGTGTGTGTGTGTGGGGGGGGGGGGGGGGGGCTCCTATGCACTTTCCTCTGCAGTCATCTGATGATAAATCGCACCTGTGCTACCCAGATGCTCGTGTCCGTTTGCCGAAACACCTTCAATTAACCATATTTGGTCATGCTACGTCCTCAGCACGTGAGAAGATTCCCTGTTTTTTTCCCGAAAAAAAAGAGAAAAAACTATTGACCACAAGATCAAAACACTGGCTGCCGAAGCACAAAAGGACCAAACAAGTTGCAGAAGATCTAAATGCAGTTGGGATAGAGGAGAGGTTCCTGTCAGAAATAAATAAAAAGTGAATCTGATCAATCATGGAGAAACTGGTTATTGTTGTGTATGATCGGGGAGCAGAGGAGGTTCTGGGAGGTTCACGTAGCTGTAAAATAAAACATGAACTGGAATCAGATTCATGAGGTTTGTCTGTTGCTCTACAAAGGGTCCCAAATCCTAGCATAGCAGAAGGATTTCCTTTGAGATCAGAGCACTCACGGAGAACACGTTCCCTCCAGAATATTGTGTGTGTGTGTGTGTGTGTATGATATCAATTTTAGCCTTGTTTATTTATTCTTTATTTAACCAGGAAGGTCCCATTGAGATTAAAAACCTCATTTTCAAGGGAGTGCTGGGCAAGAGGCTGAATAAATTACAGTTAAATTTGTTTTAGCTACACAGACATGTGTACGTCCCTCAGCTCACTAGGAGAGATGTGTAAGAGGGAGTAAAAGATGTTGTGTGCAGGTTTAATAACTGAGTAAACACATGTTATATACAAAATTACAGAAGGCAGTTACAACACAGGGAATCTGTCTCAAGGGCTCTCAGTCTGGGTTTTAAATTGTCCTTATATTTTACTACATCCTTATGAGCTGTCTTTAGTGAGCGCA